ATATATATATATATATATATATATATATATATATAGGGTCTTCTTTATTTTTATATTAAGATAAATAAATAAAAAATAAAATACCTGCTCATAATGATCAATTATAGAACAAGAATTCATCTCCTAAAATTGATAACATACTTTTATTTTAAACAACTTATTTTGACTAATCAAATGTTTAATTCCACCGTCAGATTGGTCAAATAAACGTCATCCACCCAAGTTCAGATGAAAATGATCGTGGTTTAGATCAATGACAATTAGTATAAAATTATATCAAATCTCATGAATAAAATGAAGGATTATGTTAGATCAATGATAATTAGCTTAAGATTATATAAAATCTTATGAACATAGATCTTACATTACATAATGATTTGGTATTGTTCTACGTATTCCATGTCCAATCCAACACTGGCAGTTCTAATCACCCATCACTGTTGTATGCTGCAACCTTGATATGATAACCAAGTGCAGAAACAGCAAGATGACAAGATGACACCTGAGTTCTGACTGCGTTGCTGGGGAAATTAGATACAAAATAAAAGAACAATAAAAGCAATCTCAGCGCCAATAGCTAAAATTCCCACATCCTCACATCATATCATTTGGAAATATAGCTGCGCAAACCAATATATATGGTGGCTCTATCTATCATACAAGCAAAGAAAATAGTGCAGCTGGAAAGTAATGCTGAGTAACATCACAGGCATGTTAATCAAATTACAAAATCTTTTTCAGTATAGAAAAAGGGGTATTGATAGTAACTACACATCTCACAGCTTATACACATAGGCAGCCTACAAACAACAATTGCTTTCCTCTCTTAACTAGATGTTAATCAACAATGTGTACCTGGAATCATCAACAGGAAGAGGATATATGAACATCTAATTTGACCAGGCGACGAGGTTCCCGTGCTAGAAAAAGGGATCGCCTTCATCATATGCTTCTTCTTTGTTTTCGGTCTATAATCTTTAACTTCAAAATTAGTACTGTTCGTTCGATCGTTTTTGTCCTTGGGCACAAAGATTGCATGTAAAACCTTCCCAGTTAAAATAAGGTACTCCACACAGTACCATCTCCTTCACCACACCTTTCATGGACATCCTTGATCTTCTCCACAGATTTGCAGATCCCGCTGCAGCTCCAGTCAAATGATGCAATGCATACATTTCCTGCCTGGGCCTTCCACTCGCAGTCTGGAGAGAAGCCAGAAAGAGTTACTGGAGACAATTTTTTTTACAAATGAACACCCCAAATTGGATACACCTAGTAGAGAACAAACCTGGAGGTGTCCCACAACACATGTTCCTCTCGTCAATGTGTTCTACTTCCAGCCCAATAAACCATGAACCTAGTGATACATCTTCATTAGCATATTTGTGCAGTATTGCCCTGCCATTAATGATTTAAATAATCAGTGTCATCCACCATTTGAATCAAACAACAGATACGATAGTTATCATAACTTACTGGTTTATTGAGATGTACATAGCCAGGTCTTTTGAAATAGCATAAATCTGTCCAGTAGCATGACGGAAATACTTGTTCCCATCTTCTCCAAACTTCCAGTATTCAGGTTCATGGTACTTGACATTCCTGAAGCACAGATGAAACTATGTCAACACATGAACTTAAAGCATAGTTTTGTTAAAGCATCAAGGGGACCATACTCCTAAAAATATAAAAAAGACATTACTTGCTTGAAAGCACTGGCCCGGACTTCATACATCCTATATAGGTCCGTGGCTTTGATCTGTGTCGAGCAAGAGTTGTGGCTAGCATTCCTGTATTAATTGTGCATTTGCAAGAATTGATTAGCATGATAGAAACATAATACATAATATAAAGTCTCAATTAGGCACAATACACACCTAGATTCACATGAACATCATCATCCACCTTGACATAAAAATCAGCATCCCATATGGCAACAGCAGTGGAAAAGAACATCTTTGTTTTTGCAGAAAGTTCATGGTAACCTTCCACATGATCCTATGAGATAAACAACATATCATTTCGAGGCAGAAGACAACCATAAGTTGAGAGAATCCTGACAATTAAAGGATGAGTTTCAACAATGTCTAGCAGTTCCAACATACCAGCCTGAGAAAGTCATTATGCAGAGATTCCTCGGAATCAATAGCCTTATCAAGTATACTTTTAGATGTAGCACTGTGCAGAAACAGTAGGATTCAGCCATTATAACAAGCTTACAATCTTGATCTATAATTTAAACTTAATCGGCCTTGAGAATGAAAGATGCTGCTACTGTAACGAAGAGATCAATAGCCAGAGAAAACATTTACAAGTTACAACAAAATTACAGAATAATGCAGAAAAGTTGCAACAGAAAAAAAAATACAAGATAATACCAAAAGGAAATTACATGCATACAGATTTGAACCAACACGACAGAAGAAAAACTATGTTAAGTTCTTCGAACTCGTGATGGCAAGATGAAATTGGTCTGTGGTTCATCACTGTGTACAGCTATCATATTTAGATATCTATTAATCACTATGAAAAAGTAAACGATTTACCCTTGTTACGCACAAATATCCGAGTCCAAACATATTAGGACAATTAACAAAAGATGAAGCAAAATAGGATCAATAATTAACATAATATCTAAATATTATAAAGTTCACATCAGTTAGATCCAGAAGGCGAAAAGTGAATCTTCATAAGCTTCACATTAGCAAAATAGAAGATGATGCTCTTAAAAAAAATAGATAAACAAATGCAACAATGAATTATAATGAAGTTCTGCATTCATCAAAGGTTTACATGAGTAATAGTCATTATGGAAAACAAAACCATGTTTTCCATAGAAGAGGTAGTAATATTTACCTATGCCCAATCATGAACCGGATGACAATTCCCTTATCATGTTCTAGCTGTCGGAGCTTGTCACCTGATAAAAAAGCTCACAACTTGCTTAGTGTAGGCTATCTAAGAAGGACTTTGTACAGAAAGAGAAAGAAAATGGCAGAAAATTTGACAACTAAATTGATGATCTGGATATTCTACTTTAGCTATTTCTCAAGTAATTCCATGAATATTTTGTCATTCCTTCAGCTACATCTGGATCTATCTTTTATTTCATGCCCCTCATTTTGCTAAAGCTGCAACCGGTAGGCTTCAGTTTTGATTCAGATGGATACAAAGTTCTCATGCTTAGTTCCAAGTTAACCAGATAAATGTTGCTAAGTGCCTGTTAGATAATACACAAAGCTTTGAACAAGCAATAGAAACCTAAGATAGAAAGTAAACAAGGTATACAAATCAACCATCTTCAAGATAGAGTTCAATATCAGAAGTAAACGGCCAGATGCATTTTCCCAATTTTCAAGATTAAGTTAGATGGTTTTTTTTTCCTGTTTGCTGATAGTATTGAATTGTTTGCATAAAGAACTAACACACTTAAAACTAGAGCTATGGAGACAAGGCTTATAAAAAAAAGAGGGAGTTGTCGATTGAAAAAATAAAAATAAAACGACAATATGTGGTGACATGCCATTCTCTAATCACACCATTTAATGCCTGAAGTATGATATTTAAGATTTTAGCTTTGATGTTTTGGGTTGCTACTATATTATTAACATTTTGTTTACTAGGTTGGCCGAATGTAGTTTGTACCGAGCAAGCCCCTTTTACTAGACCAAGTCTTTATCTATTTTGGATGATTGCATTAATACCTTTGGTCAAAACTCAAACTGTTCTTGCATTTTGCACTTTGTTTGGGTTAATATCAAGAAAAAAAACATATATTTGTATCTCCATTTTATTTTTATTTTTGCTGTGTAACTTTTCTAGATTTAATAACATAAGAATATTGTTTGAGGTTCTTCCAGTGACAACACTGGATAAAGTGAGACTCAATGAAGCAAATATTGTATGCTACTTTTGCAATTATGACACCAAAAAAGTCAGCAAGGTTGAATGGAATACTACAATTATATATAATCAGGAGGACCAAAATAAGAATAGTCAAAAACTGCTTTGCACCATATAATATGAAAAATGCTATGCACAATTCATGTTTTTTCCTTTTCTTGTTAAGAACAACCAACCACTACTGCAAGTATTACTTCCAAATCAACATTCAACTACCCATAGGACCAATAATTAATAAACAGAATGAAATGGTCCACAAAGTGGAATCAACATAATTCTTCAGATCAGAAAGCTGAGTCACTTAAATGCTACCTTGGGGCATCCAAGTCTCTCTGACGGAATCCCTCCTCTTCCTGCTGCTGAAAGCGGTGTTGATCCCTATCACAACAAATGCCTTCTTTCTCTGCTGACTTGACACAGCAATCGTCGGCGAGCCATTGGCGCCGTTCAGCTCCAGCGCGCTCCGCTGCGACGCCAGCTCCATCTGCAGCGTCGATATCGTCTTATCCAGAGATCTGAAATTTCAGACACACAATTGACATCCTCCTATCAATCTCAGTTCACAAAAATCCAACAATTTCAACAAAAAAAAACCATAAATTCGAAGCTTTTGAGATTCGAGTACGCACTGTATGACCTCATGCGTCCTTGTCACCTCCCCCATTACGTCCTCATCCTGCTCCGCTCTCTGCAATCGAACGAAAAAGAATCATCATTTGGAACATGCGCAGAAGAACTCAAATCCGCGGTCGGAATTGATACGGACCCTTTTGGTTGCGCAATCTTCCGCGACGATCTGGAGCTCCTGCTCCTGCCGGCCGGTGGAGACGATCTGGCCGGTGGCATCCGGGCCCTCCCAGGACCTGACACCACGAGGAGATCGTGATCGACGTGAGCGAGGGTTAGCGCGAGATTCAAGGAGGGATTAGGGACCGACCTGTTGGTGAAGAGAATCCCGAGGGCGAAGCTGCAGGCGCAAAGGATCGCCGTCCATCTCGCGGACGACCTCCGCTCGCCGCCGCTGCTGCCGTTGCCGCTCCTCACCCTCATTTGCTTCCGCTTCTATCGTTCCCACGCTTGGGTTGGCGAACGAAGAGAGGTGAGGAGGGAGGAAAAGAGGTGGCGAAGGAAGGAGAGAGTTCGGGGTACCTCAAGTCAACTTACCGCAACCGCTACTGGGATCTATTGTATGAAACCTCGGGAGAGCGGAGCTTCGGACAAACGGGCCGCCAACTCAACGCGTCAACACGTAGCGTCTAGACGGTGACGGGAACCAAAGACTCCGGAATACATCATGGTCAACTTACCGCGTCAACACGTTGCATCCAGGGGATGATTCCTGGACACAGGGCGGTCAACGTACCGCATCAACTCTTGGCGCCTGTTTCGTGGAAACATCCGGCGGAAGCTTACCCACCGTCTTCCTGCCTTCTGATTGAAGAAGCCAGTGGGCCCCCACTTATATTCACCAGTAGCAAGGCTAGGCCCCCACTTTTAGACAAGGATTAGCCTTTTGAGTTGTTGGGCCTCACTGGAAGGCCCAGAAAAGCAATTTATCTCAATAGATAAAGCCCATATCGCCGCATTAAGCCCAAAGCTTCTACCCATTTCATGGAGGTCTAATTTGAACTACAACAAATAATGTTGCATGTAACGTGCAAACACCATTTCTTGGTATCTAAATTGCAATTATTTTGAGGTTGACTTTGTAGTGAGTTTAAGATCTCAATAATACGAGACCATTAATATTATAATTCAAGTCATGTGGTTAAGTACGGCAGCTGTATGGTCACCTACAAAAGCGTGGACTTGGCGGTTCCATTTGTCCCACCCCGCGACGAGTCGACTCGGCCGAGTTGGCCGATCACTTCACCTCATTAGGCTCCAGTCCAATGCCGCCTTCTCATCCGTCTTCTAAGGTGACGTGGCATTTAGATTCGTATTATTTTTATTTTTAGGAACTTATTAATTAGTATTTTCCATTTATAAGAATGTTTTATAAATTAAAGCAAATAAATTTAAATTTTCAAAAATATTTACACAAATGAATTATTTTGCAATGCTTTTGGATATTATTATGTGTAAAGATTCCTAAAAGTTGCAGTGCCGTGCGTCAGCTACCCGTACGTGGCTCCCGCAATCGGCTACCTAACATTTTATGGATTTGTGGGCCCCAATCTAATCTCCAATTGCGAGTCAGGCGGGGCTCTCTTTGTGGGTAGGTTTGACTGGCACGAAAATAATTATCGAAAAGGCCGTACAGTCGGCACAGTTCCTTAATCTTCTTTTACCCACACGTTTAGTACCCGGCAGTTGTTCATTCGCCTGGTCTGATCAGATCGAATGGGACCCACAAGGTACGTCGGAGAGGGTAAGACAAAAAATTTGTTCTTTCTTTCGACATTTGGGGCTTGACTGGGGCAGGCGAAGCGATCCGAACACCGAGTCGATTCCCCAACTCGGTCGAGTTGTGTGGCCGCTTCTCTCCATTTATACATGGCTTAATGAAGCGATTGCTGTAATCGATCGTATCGGGCTCCGGCGTAGGGATATTGGAGGAGTGGGAGGAGGAGGAAGATGGGGTTGTCTCTGATCGAGGTGCGCTTCTCCTGGCAAACCCAAATCTCCATCTCGACGTGAGAAGAGTTGGGTACCGATGGTTGGTTGTCTTGTTGATCTCTCCATGTTTCCTTGTGTGATCAGGGGTTCACCAAGTCGCTGGCGATGACCGTGCTATCCGAGATCGGAGACAAGACCTTCTTCGCTGCAGCGGTGAATCTCGTGTCCTTTGTTTCATTTTCTACTTTCTGCTTTTCTTCGTTCTTACTTTATGCAGGTGTCCTTTGTTTCATTTTCTACTTTCTGCTTTTCTTCGTTCTTACTTTATGCAGGTATGAGATCTTAGATCTGTAGTTCTCTGGTTTTAGAGTGTAGTTATCATCATATTGTGGGTTGGGTTGCTTCTTGAAGGCGAAAAGATTCAGATGGGGTTGGAACTAGATGTTCTCTGCTGTTAGATTAACTGGTGTTGCGTGCGTCATTAATGCGATGGGATCGGACTGGAGTGAACTCGATGTCATTATTCGAGCTGCTCTTGGGTCTATCAGCTTTAAGTGCGTGCGTTCTGGAATCACAATTCTCAAGATGGGTTTAGCTTTGTTGAGCAAGTAGTCAGTGAGTTTCATTTCTTCAATTATCTTATGAAGAACCTGAAGGAATCAGGAGGTCAACTCTCTTTAAGGCAATTATAAAAGAATTAAGTAGCGAATTTGTGGCATGAGTTAATCATATGGGAAACAAGCTCTTTGCATTGCATCTATGGTTATTGTCCACCTTTGTTTCTATAACTTCTTATTTCTATTTCTACTATTTTATTTCTTTGTTTTATTTATTAATTTTGCATCAGATATTATGGTTGCTCCATTTTGTTAGCTTGTAATGTTACATGCTGTTTTTGTTGGGTCTAGATACTCTACTAGGTAGCGAATTCGTGGCATGCGTTAATCATATGTGAAACAAGATCCCTGCATTGCATCTATGATTATTGCCCATCTTTGTTCCTATTACTAATTATTTCTATTTCTACTTTTCTTTGTTTTATTTATTAATTTCCATAACATATTATGGTTGCTCAATTTTATTAGCTTGTAATCCTACATGATGTTTTTGTTGGGTCTAGATACTCTACTAGGTGAATTTCTGCCCATCAAATACTGATATATACTTAATTGTGTACATTACCATACATATGCATCACCAAGCATTTTGACTTCCTAACATTTTTATACTAATCCATTTTCATCTCGTCTTAATGAAAAGGGGAAAAAGTCCAGTATAAGAAAGTTTTAATCCTGCCATTTAGTTTCAGAATGGTTGCCTGTCATGTATATTTGTTTTGCCCTTAAGTTGGACTCTGCTACAGTATGGAGATCAGCATCTCATTTCAGCATAAACATACCAAAAGCACAGTCGCCCAACATGTCATTGCAATTACAATATTCTGTCCAAATGAATACTGCATCAGGTCATGATAATGCATATTCGTATTCCACGAAGTAGATAATTCTGTGAGATCTTGATGCTAGGACACATCCAAGATATTGGTATTTAGGTCTGAGGGATTATTTGGTAGTTAGCTCTACAAGTTTCCTTATGGAAAAGTTGAGTTATCTTGTGTACTGTAAAGTTACTGAAAAATAGGTGAACATGTTAGTAACATGATTTCCAGGTTATAAGTATGACATGAAGGGAAGTAGACAATTGAACATCCATTGATTTTTCTTTTGTTTTATCTCTGTTGCCAATTCCTGCTTATGCTTTGTGTTTTAAATGTTGAATTTGAACCGGCTATCTATGTTGTTTGCTTTGCTGTTTTTTCAAAAATTATTGTGAATTATTGATTTATTCCAATTATCTTAAATTTGGAGAGGATGGATTCTGCTCTTCCATTTCTGGTCTAACATTAATTTAACTGGCACCTCATGTATTTTCCTTTTTAGATCTTGGCAATGCGTCATCCTCGGAAGCTTGTTTTAGCAGGTTGTTTAGCATCCTTAATTGTGAGTATGGCATCTGTTTCTTATACCTTTATATTGCTTTGTTGATCTGTAATTTTGTTTGTTTTTACATGTATTCTGGATGATGTTGTAGGTCATGACCATTCTATCTGCCTCTCTTGGTTGGGTTGCACCTAATCTGGTAATCTGTCATGATTGATACGAATCATTTTTGCACTTTAAACTCCTGCTTATTGACTTTCCTTCCATTTGGTTCTTTGTTTTGGCAGTTCTACTTAGCATTCATTGTGGGATAATATGTATTATAACACTAGAGTGCTATGTTCTATTGAGATAAATTCTTGAAATTTGTTAGTCCTGAAGAAGATTCTTCTGTTTATGTTTCTGCTATGATGCTCTCAAATAAGCATGTTCATACCTTAAGAAGAGATATCAGATCTAGTAGTCATCGTGGATAACAATCACAACTTTTATTATCTATCTATACCATGAATTTAAAAGACCAGTCAGATCGATATAGTACCAGTCTGTATTTATTTTAATTATTATCTATAGCATGAATTTAAAGACTAGTCAGATGGATATAGTACCAACTAGTATTAATTGGTCTAACAAGGATCAACAAGCGATATAGTACTAGGATTGTCAAGGGGGCGGGGATTGCTTCTCTTGTCCCAGTCCCAGTCCCTGTCTTTGTCTCATCCCCCATCCTCACCTCGTTCCCCATTTAGATAGGACGGGGCCAGAGTTGGGGCACGCCTATTGGGGGTGGGGAACCTATGGATTCTCTGTATTCTCCTAATTAATCCATTATATTTTTAAAAAATAAAACTATTATCAAAACTAATTACCTACCAAAATGTCACAATGACGAGAAGAAGACCCACTTTAATTAGGGCTCAAGTGTGCACGAGGGAGGGGGGTGTGTTGACCGTTGAATGTTTATATTGTTTCATCTAGTTCAATCAAACCAAATGGCTCGCATTTGACTCTCAATCAACTCAACTAAGGCTCAATTTAGCCAATGAAGTCATTGGGTGCCCAGGTAGCTCGCCTAGGTGCCCAGGCGAGGTGAGGCCCCGAGTGCTTGCCTAATGGGCTGGGCGGGCATCTTCACTCAAGCGTGGTCCAGGCACTGGGCAAGCTGTGCAGACATTCAGTTCAACTCAAGCCAGTTTGAGCCTGAGTTGAACCAAATAATTGAATTTGGTTCAATTGAACTAGTTAGACCTAGCGTCGATGGCTGAAGAGTTCGATTGAGACCTATCCATGCACAAGTCATAACGCAGAAATCCTTTGTCACTTTATTTCTGCACAACGACAGAGTTCCTCCCATCGGTGAGCGACAATAGCAGTGGCAGCGACAACGGTGGCTTCTTCCTCTGGCAACAGCGGCAACGACTTCTTCCCCTCCCTCCGAGTATATCTCTCTCTTTCTCCTCCACCCTCCTACCTCTGCCCCGTTCACCACAGCGCTCTGCATCCTCTCCCCTCTTCTCTCTTCCCCTCCTTCCCCGTTCACCGCTCCTCTGCAGTGGCGATGGCTCCTTCCCCTCCCGGTATATATCTGTCTTTCTCCTCCTCCCTTCTACTTCTGCCCCGTTCACCACAGCCCTCCTACCTTCACTGCAACCTCTTCCCTC